GGGTGGTGACATAAATTCTCGAGATGTGGCAGACAGGTTATGCCAAAAATTGCCGCTACTTCCTTTATGCCGTATGAAGAGCAATGCTGTCGATTGGAATTTTGAATATGTACTTGTCCCTGTGTACAACTAGGCAGCTCTTTACTGGCTAGTATGGCAGGCACATTGTTGAAAGTACATCTAAATATTGGTTGTTTTGTTGTGGCTGTTGTAACAGGGTTTCCCTGTTCTGGGACAGGATTTTCCTTACTTGTCATTACTTTTGGTTCACTATCAAGTTTTCTCTTTGTTACATCTGTTTTGTCCTTCGATTTTATTATGGCATAAAAATCTCTAATGTGTATGCTATTGTCCTTGATCAAAGGAATTCTTTCCAAGTGTACAATGGGATGCAAATGCGCGTCAGGTATCCTATTATTATTGTCATTATGAATTTTGGTTTTGTTGACTGCTTTTAATTTTTTCGGTATTTTGAAATGTTTAAATATCTCGACTGAGGCTGAATTTGGATTATCATTTATTTTCAAAATATTGTCTAAATTTGGAAATTTAGGTACCTCTGTTGAACGTTGAACATTGGAAAAGTCTGTCGGAGTTGATGTTGTTGGGGAGATTTTAGGTAACTCTTCATTTGTCACCTTTGTTGGCTGGCTAACACTAATGTCGTCTCCTAACGATAAAGATGATGAGTTTTGAAATCGATCCTCATTTGGCGAGCTAATAAAAAATATTACATTTATTAATGCTTGTTATTGTCAATAAGTTTTGTGGTTATTATTTTTTTTATTTTGTTAGTATTTAATTTAATTCAAATTAATTTAATTGCTACACCTAAAACATCAAAAAAAACAAGGTCTTACTCAAAACCACAAGATGATGTGTCCAGCACAAGAGCATCCAAATCTTCATCGTCAGCCTCAAAATTTAATGCATCCTCTTCTTCAAGTTTACATTCGAGTTCCAGTAGAGACATTTGTAATTCTGGTGGCTTATTGTTGGCAGCCTCTAGAAAATATTTACTTATTTAAAAGGTGTTCTAATATATATGCAGGGTGAGATGAAAAAACTGCAACCAACTACAGACTGCTATCATTTCTAAGTCACTCGTCCAGTGACAGCTCATAATATTGTTTACAAGCGTACAAAAGCATTTTGGTGAGAATATTCCAGAAAAAAACTTATTCGTGTTGGAATTCAAGCGTGATAGTGTGATTTCTTTATATTTGGCTGGAAAACCACAAGTCGCTATCGTTAGAGAACTCCAGCATTTAAATCGTTACCGTGACACTGGTAGCGTAGCCTGACGTCAAGGAAGTGAACGGAAGAAAACAGCAACATCAGCAGAAATGGTTCGAAAAGTAAAGAAGCGACTTGATCGAAAACCGCGTCGCAGAAAAATTGCTCGTGAGCTGAACATAGCGCAATATTCCACTCGGCAATTAGTGAAAAATGGGCTCGGGGTTAAGCCATTGAAATTCCAAAAAGTGCAAAAACTTACACCGCAACAGAAAGAAAATAGACTCAAAAGAGCTAGAGTTGCTTCGCTTGGCCGAAAGTGGGTAAACTGGCGAATTTGGGCTTTTCCGATGAGAAAACATCCGATGTCCAGCAGTTTGTAAACAAACGAAATGATCGTGTTAACTTGTTAACTTGTTAACTTTCCTGTGGATTGCTGACCTCCTGAAACAATATATTTGTTTTTATTAATTATTTCATATTTGTTTTTATTAATTATTATCCCATACCTTGAGGACATCTTTATCTGCATCCTTCATGTCTGTAGCAGTCTTTTCAGCCACTGTTTCTTTAGTTGCTTTGTCTTCTTCTGACGGATTTTCGTTATCCTTTATTAAAAAAAGATGCTATTTTATTTGTATTCCAGATACATACATAGTATGAAGGGTGTATTAAGTTCGTCATTCCGTTTGTAACTAATCGAAATAATAGTTTTAGATCCAACAAGGTATATATATTCTTGATGTGAAATTCTTAGACGATTTAGCCCTGTCCATCCGTCCGTCCGTCTGTTGTAATCCTAGCGTGATTCAAAACGAATTAAAATATGAAGCTAAAATAAAATTGTAAATTGTCTGAAAATCCACACTTTATCCCCTGGTAGAGAATTCTTCTATTATAGGTCCACGATATCGTATAGCCCTCATACAACGGGAAACCCCCGATATTCGGTGTTTGGATGATTTCAGACAAAATTTCCAATGGATTTGTCTTAAAATCCTCAAAACGGGTTCATTCTGAGTACTTTACCCCCTAGAAGAGGATTGCCTACATAGGTCCACGTTTTAATATAGCCCCCATATAACGGTATCCCCCAGATATTCGGTATTTTCATGATTTTTGCGACATTATTCACCGGGGAAATGTTTCAAATGTCGTATTTGAAGTGGGGAATCGTTACTACAGCCTATAACAAAAATTAATTATGCAGGACCGTGTCTTCGTACAGCCCCCATATAACAGTTTTCATTTGAGCGGTATTTTTCGACGGAATTTTTGTGAAAATTTTCAAATTTCTTTCATATGGTATGGAGGGTATAAAAAGTTCGGCCTGGTCGAACTTAACTGATTTTTTACTTGTTGATTATCTTACCGTTCGAAGACTTCGATCAGAATGTATTGTTTCCGCCTCCTCCTCTTCTTTATTAGCGCTCCTACCCTCATCCGTTGTTGCTGTTGTTGTTGTTGTGGAAGTCAATGGTTCTACATCGAGTAATTGCTTAAATATTTCTCTGGTCGATTCGTCTGTAAAATTATAATCATCACCCAAACTGCAGTTGAGAAAACTTGATGAATCCTCAGGCATTGAGGCATATGTGGAATCATTGTTAGTTACAATAATGATGTACGAACATTATGCAACAATTTAAAACAATCTATCCAATCAAGGCGAAGTTTTACACCGAACAGAAAAAAAGTTCTGAGATTTTGTTGAAATCAGTTCATATTCAGATACACCTTCAACATACAGGATGAGATGAAAAAACCTCAACCAACTTCAGACTGCTGTCATTTCTAAGCTGTTCCTAACTGTTAAAATTATTCCAGTGACAGCTCATTATATGGCTTGGTGAGAATTTTCCAGAAAGAAAGTTATTCGTGATGGAATTAAAGCGTGATAATGTGATTTTTTAAATTTGGCTGGAAAACCACAAGTGGCTTTCGTTAGAGCACTCCAGCATTTAAATGTGAATAACTTTTTTGTGTCTCGTGCCATCGCTCGTCACCGAGATACTGGTAGCGTAGCCCGACGTCAAGTAAGTGGACGAAAGAAAACAGCAAGATCAGCAGAAAAGCTTCGAAAAGTAAAGAAGTGATGACTTGATCGAAACCCGCGTTGCAATGGCCGAAAAATGGCTCGTGAGCTGAACATATTGCAATATTCCCTTCGGCAAATATTGAAAAATGAGATCGGGGTAAAGCCATTGAAATTCCAAAAAGTGCAAGAACTTACATCGAAACAGAAAGAAAATAGACTCAAAAGAGAGAGTTGATTCTTTCGCTTGGCCGAAAGTAGTGAACTGCCGAATTTGGTTTTCTTCGATGAGAAAACATTCGATGTTCAACAGTTTGTAAACAAACAAAATGATCGTGTTTACTTGCCAAAGAGGTCAGCTTAAAATGTGCACCTTCGGTTGGCCACCAGAACTCAAGCGCCGGCCATGGCGATGGTGTGGGCCGCCTGGAGCGTGTATTAAAAATGTATTAAACATTTTGGCCGCAGACCTTGGACATTCCAATAGGACTCAGCACCATCACACTCAGCACACGCCACACAAGAATGATTACAAAATGAGGTTCCTCACTTCATTTCCAGTGCACAATGACCACCAAAATCTGCGGATACCAATCCGTTGGACTATTGTGTCTGGAGTATTTTGAAAAGGAAGTTGGCACTACAAATACCAAAGGGTCGATTGCCTCAAGCAAACTGGGCCCAAATACCGCAGAGCAACATACGAGCATGGTGTGACGGTTTCATTGAAGGCCATAATTCGAGCCAAAGGTGACCAATTCGAATAAATCTAAACTTGTTCTAAAATTTGATGATATTTCCGAGATTTTTTGCTTTCGTTTAAAACTATTTAAAAAAATGTAAAAATTATGGCGTTTGACTTTGCTATAGTTTTTTTTTATCTCAACCTGTTTGTTTGTAATGGAAACCATTTCGACTCGTTGTGGAATTAATCGTGATTGAATTTTGAGAATATAATATCATAAGCGCGGTCTACCAAAGAAATATCTATTTGTCATCAAGAGTTTGTCAAACTCTGTTGTGTCCCTGGACACTGCCACATATCTGGCAAAGAATCTGCTGATGAATTGGCCAGACGGTGATCTGAGTCTGAAGATCTAGAGATTGAGAGCTCAGTGAAGCCACCCCTATGTCACTTCTTCCAAGTACTTCATAAGCATTCAGCAAAACTGGCTAAGATTTGGCCGGTGAACTCTGAAAGGAGATCAAGGCCACTCATATCCATGGCGAAGTCGGACTTGAAGCTTGTGGTGGGCCTAATTACAGGACACTGCAACATAAAGTGGGGGTTGACGATACTGAATACTGCAGCCTTTGTCAGGACGAGGAGGAAACTGAGACGGTGGAGTACTTACTCTGCCAGTGCCCAACTCTTATCGGTGTGATACAGAGGCTACTGGGTAAGCAAATTCTTCCCGACTTGTCCTCCCTCTTCGAAACCGAGCCAGCGGTCATTCTTCCGTTAGTCCGAAGACTAAAATGGCTAAGGACGAAAGATGATTGCACCGTGGATACCAACCTACTAACTTCTCTATTCCTATCTTCAAATTCTCGCTACTTCACTATTCGTTTCCTTCCCTTTCATTACATTGTTCTTCCATCTTCCCTAAAGTAGGATGATCAATAGGTCACCGAGAGTTCTTCGTTTGTAATTCAACAGGTCCTCCTAATGCAATTCGACAAATCGCATATTTTATATTAAAATCAAACACTTGTTTGTTTGTAAAGGTAAAATTAAAATTTGATTTATTGTCGCATGGATACAAAACTTGGTACATTTCAAAATAAAATAAAGAATTCATTTTGTAGATGGATAGAGCATGGTTTCATTAATAAATCAATTGTTAAAAATAAATGGTTAAAATATACATAAAAGTTTTTAATATATTATATATATATACCAAGTAATGAGAATATACATTTTAATACCTTTTTAAAAGGTAAACCTGTAAAAAAATTAAAAAAAAATAATGGAAAAAAACAAATATTAATAAAATTCAGCATACCGTCAGTCAGTATAGAATAGATTTGTGCGATGTAGATTTGTACATTTTAGTGTCTTTTGGGGGTTGACATTTGTACTTTTATTTACTTGTTGCCATTAGACCAAGACACTTCAATAGGTTCGGCGAACATAGCATGGGCAGTTCATCGAGATGTACTGTTTGGACACATTTGAAAAACACTTGATTAAGTTGTACGAGATTACTGTTGCTACTGTTCAATAGCTCGGTAGCCATTTCCTCTAGTACAGGTATGCGAAAATGGTATTGTTGATTGTCCATCGTAAAGCCTTCAATGTAATCGGAAAACATTGCCCAACCTGTCTTCATTATAATTGCGACCAGCGCATCTATGACCGGTGTCGACCGATCTCGACTACGTTTCAGCATAAGGCGACAGGCATTTGAGGGACTTAGACCACATTTAACCAAGGCATCGAAGAGTACAATTAGATTTTCTGCTTGTTCCGGATAACGTTCGCAATCGTTTACCATTTTCAGGAGCACCATGCGATTGTTGCGTTGTGTGTAAATGTTGCAAAATAAAATGAAAAATTGTCGATATAATTTGTGATGGTTATAGGCAAATGAATATGCCACATTTAGATCGGAGACATTCATGCCATTTAGACTATTGAATACCGTGTCTAGGTCATTCATTTGATGTGACATTTTACAGAGCAATGGTGGGTGGTGACATAAATTCTCGAGATGTGGCAGACAGGTTATGCCAAAAATTGCCGCTACTTCCTTTATGCCGTATGAAGAGCAATGCTGTCGATTGGAATTTTGAATATGTACTTGTCCCTGTGTACAACTAGGCAGCTCTTTACTGGCTAGTATGGCAGGCACATTGTTGAAAGTACATCTAAATATTGGTTGTTTTGTTGTGGCTGTTGTAACAGGGTTTCCCTGTTCTGGGACAGGATTTTCCTTACTTGTCATTACTTTTGGTTCACTATCAAGTTTTCTCTTTGTTACATCTGTTTTGTCCTTCGATTTTATTATGGCATAAAAATCTCTAATGTGTATGCTATTGTCCTTGATCAAAGGAATTCTTTCCAAGTGTACAATGGGATGCAAATGCGCGTCAGGTATCCTATTATTATTGTCATTATGAATTTTGGTTTTGTTGACTGCTTTTAATTTTTTCGGTATTTTGAAATGTTTAAATATCTCGACTGAGGCTGAATTTGGATTATCATTTATTTTCAAAATATTGTCTAAATTTGGAAATTTAGGTACCTCTGTTGAACGTTGAACATTGGAAAAGTCTGTCGGAGTTGATGTTGTTGGGGAGATTTTAGGTAACTCTTCATTTGTCACCTTTGTTGGCTGGCTAACACTAATGTCGTCTCCTAACGATAAAGATGATGAGTTTTGAAATCGATCCTCATTTGGCGAGCTAATAAAAAATATTACATTTATTAATGCTTGTTATTGTCAATAAGTTTTGTGGTTATTATTTTTTTTATTTTGTTAGTATTTAATTTAATTCAAATTAATTTAATTGCTACACCTAAAACATCAAAAAAAACAAGGTCTTACTCAAAACCACAAGATGATGTGTCCAGCACAAGAGCATCCAAATCTTCATCGTCAGCCTCAAAATTTAATGCATCCTCTTCTTCAAGTTTACATTCGAGTTCCAGTAGAGACATTTGTAATTCTGGTGGCTTATTGTTGGCAGCCTCTAGAAAATATTTACTTATTTAAAAGGTGTTCTAATATATATGCAGGGTGAGATGAAAAAACTGCAACCAACTACAGACTGCTATCATTTCTAAGTCACTCGTCCAGTGACAGCTCATAATATTGTTTACAAGCGTACAAAAGCATTTTGGTGAGAATATTCCAGAAAAAAACTTATTCGTGTTGGAATTCAAGCGTGATAGTGTGATTTCTTTATATTTGGCTGGAAAACCACAAGTCGCTATCGTTAGAGAACTCCAGCATTTAAATCGTTACCGTGACACTGGTAGCGTAGCCTGACGTCAAGGAAGTGAACGGAAGAAAACAGCAACATCAGCAGAAATGGTTCGAAAAGTAAAGAAGCGACTTGATCGAAAACCGCGTCGCAGAAAAATTGCTCGTGAGCTGAACATAGCGCAATATTCCACTCGGCAATTAGTGAAAAATGGGCTCGGGGTTAAGCCATTGAAATTCCAAAAAGTGCAAAAACTTACACCGCAACAGAAAGAAAATAGACTCAAAAGAGCTAGAGTTGCTTCGCTTGGCCGAAAGTGGGTAAACTGGCGAATTTGGGCTTTTCCGATGAGAAAACATCCGATGTCCAGCAGTTTGTAAACAAACGAAATGATCGTGTTAACTTGTTAACTTGTTAACTTTCCTGTGGATTGCTGACCTCCTGAAACAATATATTTGTTTTTATTAATTATTTCATATTTGTTTTTATTAATTATTATCCCATACCTTGAGGACATCTTTATCTGCATCCTTCATGTCTGTAGCAGTCTTTTCAGCCACTGTTTCTTTAGTTGCTTTGTCTTCTTCTGACGGATTTTCGTTATCCTTTATTAAAAAAAGATGCTATTTTATTTGTATTCCAGATACATACATAGTATGAAGGGTGTATTAAGTTCGTCATTCCGTTTGTAACTAATCGAAATAATAGTTTTAGATCCAACAAGGTATATATATTCTTGATGTGAAATTCTTAGACGATTTAGCCCTGTCCATCCGTCCGTCCGTCTGTTGTAATCCTAGCGTGATTCAAAACGAATTAAAATATGAAGCTAAAATAAAATTGTAAATTGTCTGAAAATCCACACTTTATCCCCTGGTAGAGAATTCTTCTATTATAGGTCCACGATATCGTATAGCCCTCATACAACGGGAAACCCCCGATATTCGGTGTTTGGATGATTTCAGACAAAATTTCCAATGGATTTGTCTTAAAATCCTCAAAACGGGTTCATTCTGAGTACTTTACCCCCTAGAAGAGGATTGCCTACATAGGTCCACGTTTTAATATAGCCCCCATATAACGGTATCCCCCAGATATTCGGTATTTTCATGATTTTTGCGACATTATTCACCGGGGAAATGTTTCAAATGTCGTATTTGAAGTGGGGAATCGTTACTACAGCCTATAACAAAAATTAATTATGCAGGACCGTGTCTTCGTACAGCCCCCATATAACAGTTTTCATTTGAGCGGTATTTTTCGACGGAATTTTTGTGAAAATTTTCAAATTTCTTTCATATGGTATGGAGGGTATAAAAAGTTCGGCCTGGTCGAACTTAACTGATTTTTTACTTGTTGATTATCTTACCGTTCGAAGACTTCGATCAGAATGTATTGTTTCCGCCTCCTCCTCTTCTTTATTAGCGCTCCTACCCTCATCCGTTGTTGCTGTTGTTGTTGTTGTGGAAGTCAATGGTTCTACATCGAGTAATTGCTTAAATATTTCTCTGGTCGATTCGTCTGTAAAATTATAATCATCACCCAAACTGCAGTTGAGAAAACTTGATGAATCCTCAGGCATTGAGGCATATGTGGAATCATTGTTAGTTACAATAATGATGTACGAACATTATGCAACAATTTAAAACAATCTATCCAATCAAGGCGAAGTTTTACACCGAACAGAAAAAAAGTTCTGAGATTTTGTTGAAATCAGTTCATATTCAGATACACCTTCAACATACAGGATGAGATGAAAAAACCTCAACCAACTTCAGACTGCTGTCATTTCTAAGCTGTTCCTAACTGTTAAAATTATTCCAGTGACAGCTCATTATATGGCTTGGTGAGAATTTTCCAGAAAGAAAGTTATTCGTGATGGAATTAAAGCGTGATAATGTGATTTTTTAAATTTGGCTGGAAAACCACAAGTGGCTTTCGTTAGAGCACTCCAGCATTTAAATGTGAATAACTTTTTTGTGTCTCGTGCCATCGCTCGTCACCGAGATACTGGTAGCGTAGCCCGACGTCAAGTAAGTGGACGAAAGAAAACAGCAAGATCAGCAGAAAAGCTTCGAAAAGTAAAGAAGTGATGACTTGATCGAAACCCGCGTTGCAATGGCCGAAAAATGGCTCGTGAGCTGAACATATTGCAATATTCCCTTCGGCAAATATTGAAAAATGAGATCGGGGTAAAGCCATTGAAATTCCAAAAAGTGCAAGAACTTACATCGAAACAGAAAGAAAATAGACTCAAAAGAGAGAGTTGATTCTTTCGCTTGGCCGAAAGTAGTGAACTGCCGAATTTGGTTTTCTTCGATGAGAAAACATTCGATGTTCAACAGTTTGTAAACAAACAAAATGATCGTGTTTACTTGCCAAAGAGGTCAGCTTAAAATGTGCACCTTCGGTTGGCCACCAGAACTCAAGCGCCGGCCATGGCGATGGTGTGGGCCGCCTGGAGCGTGTATTAAAAATGTATTAAACATTTTGGCCGCAGACCTTGGACATTCCAATAGGACTCAGCACCATCACACTCAGCACACGCCACACAAGAATGATTACAAAATGAGGTTCCTCACTTCATTTCCAGTGCACAATGACCACCAAAATCTGCGGATACCAATCCGTTGGACTATTGTGTCTGGAGTATTTTGAAAAGGAAGTTGGCACTACAAATACCAAAGGGTCGATTGCCTCAAGCAAACTGGGCCCAAATACCGCAGAGCAACATACGAGCATGGTGTGACGGTTTCATTGAAGGCCATAATTCGAGCCAAAGGTGACCAATTCGAATAAATCTAAACTTGTTCTAAAATTTGATGATATTTCCGAGATTTTTTGCTTTCGTTTAAAACTATTTAAAAAAATGTAAAAATTATGGCGTTTGACTTTGCTATAGTTTTTTTTTATCTCAACCTGTTTGTTTGTAATGGAAACCATTTCGACTCGTTGTGGAATTAATCGTGATTGAATTTTGAGAATATAATATCATAAGCGCGGTCTACCAAAGAAATATCTATTTGTCATCAAGAGTTTGTCAAACTCTGTTGTGTCCCTGGACACTGCCACATATCTGGCAAAGAATCTGCTGATGAATTGGCCAGACGGTGATCTGAGTCTGAAGATCTAGAGATTGAGAGATCAGTGAAGCCACCCCTATGTCACTTCTTCCAAGTACTTCATAAGCATTCAGCAAAACTGGCTAAGATTTGGCCGGTGAACTCTGAAAGGAGATCAAGGCCACTCATATCCATGGCGAAGTCGGACTTGAAGCTTGTGGTGGGCCTAATTACAGGACACTGCAACATAAAGTGGGGGTTGACGATACTGAATACTGCAGCCTTTGTCAGGACGAGGAGGAAACTGAGACGGTGGAGTACTTACTCTGCCAGTGCCCAACTCTTATCGGTGTGATACAGAGGCTACTGGGTAAGCAAATTCTTCCCGACTTGTCCTCCCTCTTCGAAACCGAGCCAGCGGTCATTCTTCCGTTAGTCCGAAGACTAAAATGGCTAAGGACGAAAGATGATTGCACCGTGGATACCAACCTACTAACTTCTCTATTCCTATCTTCAAATTCTCGCTACTTCACTATTCGTTTCCTTCCCTTTCATTACATTGTTCTTCCATCTTCCCTAAAGTAGGATGATCAATAGGTCACCGAGAGTTCTTCGTTTGTAATTCAACAGGTCCTCCTAATGCAATTCGACAAATCGCATATTTTATATTAAAATCAAACACTTGTTTGTTTGTAAAGGTAAAATTAAAATTTGATTTATTGTCGCATGGATACAAAACTTGGTACATTTCAAAATAAAATAAAGAATTCATTTTGTAGATGGATAGAGCATGGTTTCATTAATAAATCAATTGTTAAAAATAAATGGTTAAAATATACATAAAAGTTTTTAATATATTATATATATATACCAAGTAATGAGAATATACATTTTAATACCTTTTTAAAAGGTAAACCTGTAAAAAAATTAAAAAAAAATAATGGAAAAAAACAAATATTAATAAAATTCAGCATACCGTCAGTCAGTATAGAATAGATTTGTGCGATGTAGATTTGTACATTTTAGTGTCTTTTGGGGGTTGACATTTGTACTTTTATTTACTTGTTGCCATTAGACCAAGACACTTCAATAGGTTCGGCGAACATAGCATGGGCAGTTCATCGAGATGTACTGTTTGGACACATTTGAAAAACACTTGATTAAGTTGTACGAGATTACTGTTGCTACTGTTCAATAGCTCGGTAGCCATTTCCTCTAGTACAGGTATGCGAAAATGGTATTGTTGATTGTCCATCGTAAAGCCTTCAATGTAATCGGAAAACATTGCCCAACCTGTCTTCATTATAATTGCGACCAGCGCATCTATGACCGGTGTCGACCGATCTCGACTACGTTTCAGCATAAGGCGACAGGCATTTGAGGGACTTAGACCACATTTAACCAAGGCATCGAAGAGTACAATTAGATTTTCTGCTTGTTCCGGATAACGTTCGCAATCGTTTACCATTTTCAGGAGCACCATGCGATTGTTGCGTTGTGTGTAAATGTTGCAAAATAAAATGAAAAATTGTCGATATAATTTGTGATGGTTATAGGCAAATGAATATGCCACATTTAGATCGGAGACATTCATGCCATTTAGACTATTGAATACCGTGTCTAGGTCATTCATTTGATGTGACATTTTACAGAGCAATGGTGGGTGGTGACATAAATTCTCGAGATGTGGCAGACAGGTTATGCCAAAAATTGCCGCTACTTCCTTTATGCCGTATGAAGAGCAATGCTGTCGATTGGAATTTTGAATATGTACTTGTCCCTGTGTACAACTAGGCAGCTCTTTACTGGCTAGTATGGCAGGCACATTGTTGAAAGTACATCTAAATATTGGTTGTTTTGTTGTGGCTGTTGTAACAGGGTTTCCCTGTTCTGGGACAGGATTTTCCTTACTTGTCATTACTTTTGGTTCACTATCAAGTTTTCTCTTTGTTACATCTGTTTTGTCCTTCGATTTTATTATGGCATAAAAATCTCTAATGTGTATGCTATTGTCCTTGATCAAAGGAATTCTTTCCAAGTGTACAATGGGATGCAAATGCGCGTCAGGTATCCTATTATTATTGTCATTATGAATTTTGGTTTTGTTGACTGCTTTTAATTTTTTCGGTATTTTGAAATGTTTAAATATCTCGACTGAGGCTGAATTTGGATTATCATTTATTTTCAAAATATTGTCTAAATTTGGAAATTTAGGTACCTCTGTTGAACGTTGAACATTGGAAAAGTCTGTCGGAGTTGATGTTGTTGGGGAGATTTTAGGTAACTCTTCATTTGTCACCTTTGTTGGCTGGCTAACACTAATGTCGTCTCCTAACGATAAAGATGATGAGTTTTGAAATCGATCCTCATTTGGCGAGCTAATAAAAAATATTACATTTATTAATGCTTGTTATTGTCAATAAGTTTTGTGGTTATTATTTTTTTTATTTTGTTAGTATTTAATTTAATTCAAATTAATTTAATTGCTACACCTAAAACATCAAAAAAACAAGGTCTTACTCAAAACCACAAGATGATGTGTCCAGCACAAGAGCATCCAAATCTTCATCGTCAGCCTCAAAATTTAATGCATCCTCTTCTTCAAGTTTACATTCGAGTTCCAGTAGAGACATTTGTAATTCTGGTGGCTTATTGTTGGCAGCCTCTAGAAAATATTTACTTATTTAAAAGGTGTTCTAATATATATGCAGGGTGAGATGAAAAAACTGCAACCAACTACAGACTGCTATCATTTTTAAGTCACTCGTCCAGTGACAGCTCATAATATTGTTTACAAGCGTACAAAAGCATTTTGGTGAGAATATTCCAGAAAAAAACTTATTCGTGTTGGAATTCAAGCGTGATAGTGTGATTTCTTTATATTTGGCTGGAAAACCACAAGTCGCTATCGTTAGAGAACTCCAGCATTTAAATCGTTACCGTGACACTGGTAGCGTAGCCTGACGTCAAGGAAGTGAACGGAAGAAAACAGCAACATCAGCAGAAATGGTTCGAAAAGTAAAGAAGCGACTTGATCGAAAACCGCGTCGCAGAAAAATTGCTCGTGAGCTGAACATAGCGCAATATTCCACTCGGCAATTAGTGAAAAATGGGCTCGGGGTTAAGCCATTGAAATTCCAAAAAGTGCAAAAACTTACACCGCAACAGAAAGAAAATAGACTCAAAAGAGCTAGAGTTGCTTCGCTTGGCCGAAAGTGGGTAAACTGGCGAATTTGGGCTTTTCCGATGAGAAAACATCCGATGTCCAGCAGTTTGTAAACAAACGAAATGATCGTGTTAACTTGCCAAAAAGGTCAGCTGAAAATGTGCACATTTGATTGGCCGCCAGAACTCAAGCGCCGGCCTTAGTGATGGAGTGGGCTGCCATAACAGGCGATGATCGCTCTCCACTCGTATTAATCGACCGTGGCATCAGAATAAATGCCGAATATTATCGCGAAAATATTCTGGAGGGTGTATTAAAGTCTTGGTCACACAAACATTTTGGCCGCAGAACTTGGACATCCCAACAGAACTCAACACCATCGCACTCAGCAAGCGCCACCCAAGAATGATTACAAAATGAGATTCCTCGCTTCATTTCCAGAGAACAATGGCCAACAAAATCTCCGGATACCAATCCGTTGGACTATTGTGTCTGGAGTATTTTGGAAAGCAAGGTTGGCACTGAAGAATATCAAAGTGTCGATCACCTCAAGCAAGCGCTTTGCCGGGAATGGGCCAAAATACCGCAGAGCAACATTCGGTCAGCGCGTGACGATTTCATTGACCGTTTGAGGGCTATAATTCGTGCCAAAGGTGACCAATTTGAACAAATCTAAACTTATTCTAAAATTTGATGCTATTTCCGACAAATTTTGCTTTCATTCAAACAAAATTTAAAAAAATGTAAAAATTATGGCGTTTGACTTTGTTGCAGTTTTTTTTATCTCACCCTGCAATTCCCCCTAGCATTGTAGAACCATTAATCTGAATACTCTTTTTGATTAAACTCAATATTTATGTGGTGGCATTTACTTACTTTCCTCATTTTCGAATTTTCCATTATTTTCCAATTCTTTCGATTTCCCTACAAAGTTATCTTTCTGCAATCCATTTTCCTTGGAGATATTCTCATCATCAATGTGAAGTTTTTCATCAATATGTTCAGGAATTGAGTGTTCGGTTCCAATCTCATCTTCACTTTCGGATATTTCTAATGTTGGAAATGTATCACTACTATCTTTCTCAAACGAATTAAGCCGATCACAAATTTCAATTTTACAGATGAGATCAGCGGGTTGTTCTTGGCAGTTTTTTTCATGTGATGATTCATACAATGGTTCCTGATGAGATTTTCTGTCCACGTTATCGCTTTCATTTGTATATGGGTAATCAAACTTTATGTTTTCATCACCATTTTGGTTTAAAGTGTTTACTGGAATTGCATCAACCTTCTGTTGTTGTTCATGAAACGACGAAATATTCTCCTTATCTTTATCGGTGTTAATAGTTTGTTTTTGTTGCTGCTGCTCGTTAGAATGAAAATTGTTTACGATACTTTGAATTTTATTGGCCGATGCCACAGGTTCGGACTCTTTGTGTTCTGTCTGAGGCTCAGGTATATTCTCGAGATTTAATGGTTTACAAAGATCAATAATAATATTTTCCTCTGTTATATTCAAGCAATCCATCATTTCAACATCTTCTTCGCCATCATCATTTCCGGTTTGTCGTGGTAAACAATTGTCATTGGTCAGTTTGTTTAAATTTAAGGAGACAGCCGGTTGGTCTATTTCTTGAGTTACGTTGCAAATATTAAAAGAAGGATCATCGACATCATCGTGTTTCAACTGAATTGTGTTGTCTATGTTGTCATTTGAACAATTGTTGTTATTGTCCTGTGCTATATCCAACATTGAATCCAAAGATTTGCTTATATCCTTTGATTTTTCTGCACTAGTATTTTGCAATGAAGCCGTCGTATTGTTGTTGGATTTTTTCACATTTTCTTTTAGGGATTTTATTATATCTGTTGTTTTGGTCGTATCGTTACACTTCGTTGTTGTTTCACAGGTTTCATTTTTGATTTTCTTATTGGACTGCATTTTGTTAGGCTCCTCCTGCTCCTCCCCTGCGCTTTCCATGTCTTTAGTATTACAATGGATATCTGGGTGTTCTGGTATTGTAATAACAATGATATTATTAGTTTCATTATGCTTAATCTCTTCACAAATGCTAAACATTCGAGGTTTGGCTTTGTTAATGAACTTCGTGGTCGCATTAACAACTACTCCACCATCAGCATCTTTCTTGTGACTTGTGGACAATTCTTTACATGCTTCTTGCACAACTTTTTTCTCCTGCGTAAATTTATTTTCTTCATCATCAATTGAACACAACGATTTCGAATTATCCTGAATACTAGGTGATATATCTGATTTATTTGTATTCAATTCTTTGATGCAAATTTCGTTTCGACATTCTGTAAAAGTAGTAGCTCTGTGTTCGGTTTGCTTTTTCAAATTTATGGGCGCTGTATCAATATTCTTAGATAAATCTAATTTTACTTTGCCTTCATTCTTGTCATTGAAAATGCTTTCGTTTTCCCCTCCGGAAGTAATGGTTATGGTAATTTGCTCTCTTTGCATTTTCGCGAGTTTGGGTGATGAATCTGCCGCACTTGTTACAGTAATACGACGCTTACGTATTTTCCCCGCACAATTTATGATACTTGAAGTGCTCATATTAAGTCCGGTATTTTTTGGAGATGGAAATTGTTCCTTTTCCATTGCAACTTCTGGCTCTTTCTGTCTCTGGTTCTTTTCCTGTGGATTGCTGACCTCCTGAAACAATATATTTGTTTTTATTAATTATTTCATATTTGTTTTTATTAATTATTATCCCATACCTTGAGGACATCTTTATCTGCATCCTTCATGTCTGTAGCAGTCTTTTCAGCCACTGTTTCTTTAGTTGCTTTGTCTTCTTCTGACGGATTTTCGTTATCCTTTATTAAAAAAAGATGCTATTTTATTTGTATTCCAGATACATACATAGTATGAAGGGTGTATTAAGTTCGTCATTCCGTTTGTAACTAATCGAAATAATAGTTTTAGATCCAACAAGGTATATATATTCTTGATGTGAAATTCTTAGACGATTTAGCCCTGTCCATCCGTCCGTCCGTCTGTTGTAATCCTAGCGTGATTCAAAACGAATTAAAATATGAAGCTAAAATAAAATTGTAAATTGTCTGAAAATCCACACTTTATCCCCTGGTAGAGAATTCTTCTATTATAGGTCCACGATATCGTATAGCCCTCATACAACGGGAAACCCCCAATATTCGGTGTTTGGATGATTTCAGACAAAATTTCCAATGGATTTGTCTTAAAATCCTCAAAACGGGTTCATTCTGAGTACTTTACCCCCTAGAAGAGGATTGCCTACATAGGTCCACGTTTTAATATAGCCCCCATATAACGGTATCCCCCAGATATTCGGTATTTTCATGATTTTTGCGACATTATTCACCGGGGAAATGTTTCAAATGTCGTATTTGAAGTGGGGAATCGTTACTACAGCCTATAACAAAAATTAATTATGCAGGACCGTGTCTTCGTACAGCCCCCATATAACAGTTTTCATTTGAGCGGTATTTTTCGACGGAATTTTTGTGAAAATTTTCAAATTTCTTTCATATGGTATGGAGGGTATAAAAAGTTCGGCCTGGTCGAACTTAACTGATTTTTTACTTGTTGATTATCTTACCGTTCGAAGACTTCGATCAGAATGTATTGTTTCCGCCTCCTCCTCTTCTTTATTAGTCCTCCCACCCTCATCCGTTGTTGTTATTGGTGTTGTTGCGGAAGTCAATGGTTCTACATCGAGTAATTGCTTAAATATTTCTCTGGTCGATTCGTCTGTAAAATTATAATCATCACCCAAACTGCAGTTGAGAAAACTTGATGAATCCTCAGGCATTGAGGCATATGTGGAATCATTAGTTGGTAGTACCGACGAGGTTTCTGTAACATAAAAACAGTATATTGAATAAATACATCAATTAATTATTCTCAAAATCACAATCACTTACCTTTTAACATATTATTTTCGCCGACATCGTCTATGGTGTCCAGCAACGGCATGTCCAGAGCAGCTTTAAATGAACTATTTTCATTTCCCTCGGGCAATTGATCGAGGCCCAAATCAAAGTCACTTGTTTCGATAAGGCGTCGTATAAATTCATCATCCTGGCCATTATCAACCTCAGTACAACATTGAGTTTCAGTTAGAATACCATATTCCTGATCACACGAACTTGTCGAATTATTTTGATTTGCATTTATGGATAGATCTAAAGGTGAATCGTCATTTTCATTTTCAGCCATAATTGCCATTGGACAACCAAACGAGACATCTGCATGAACAATGACATTGTTGTGAACGCTTGAGATTGGGTTGGATGAAAATTGTGAGCTTGTTTTGATCGATAAATCGAGAATTTCGGAAGATTTGTGAGCCGGTGGTGGTATTGATTCATTCCTTGCTGTTGCATTTGTTGATGTCGGTAGGGGTTGTAGTGCTGTTGTAATAAAGCCCTCAGTCATAACCGGCAGCACAATGGAATTATCCAATGTGTTATGTTGTCGAAATGGTGTAATAATTGGCAAATTTATGCCCGCAACACGTGCCTGTGGAAAAAAACCAAATGGACAATTTAACGTTTATCTAATAAATATGCAAGACAAAAAAGACTGCCAAAAATTGGATATTGCAATCACAACAAGGAAAAAAGCTGTAAGTTCGGCCGGGCCGAACATTGAATACCCTCCACCATTTGGAACGAACTTGGTAATTCTCAAAAATAATAAAATCCGTTAAAAATTCTGTCTACAGGACGACATGGGCCTGCATAGGTAACAAAACTTAAAAAATTGATAATAAAGTAGCTAAAATCATCCAAAGTGCCCAATGTCGGGAGGTACCGTTGTACGGGGACTATACGAAGACAATTTTTTGTATTAGGCTGTAGTATCCATAACGAACTTCAAATACCAAATTTGAAACAATTCCGGTGAATAATGTCGCTAAAATCATCAAAATACCGAATATTGGGAGGTATCGTTATATGGGGACTCTACGAGGACGTGGACCTGCACAGACAATTTTCTGTCTAAGGCTGTAGTACCCATTACGAACTTCAAATACGAAATTTGAAACAATTTCGGTGAATAATGTCGCTAAAATTCTCAAAATACCGAGTATCATGAGGTACCAATATATGGGAGCTATGCGAAGCTGTGGACCTGCACAGACAGGTTTCCGTCTTTGGCTGTAGTATCTATTACGAATTTCAAAAACAAAATTTGAAACAATTCCGGTGAATAATTTCGCTAAAATCATCAAAATACCGAATATCGGGAGGTACCGTTATATGGGGGTTATACCAAAACGTCGACCTACATGGCCCATTGTCAATACCAAAAGTCCTTCAGACATAACATACATTTGAGCAAAATTTTGTCAATCTACTTCAATTCGTTCGGAAGCTAGAGTGATTTCCACAGACGGACGGTCATCGTTTAATCGTCTAAGAATTTTATGCTGATCTAGAATATATATAGTTTGTGGGGTCTAAAATGTATATTTCAAGATGTTACAAACGGAATGATAAACTTAATATACCCTCCCATAGAATGATGGAGGGTATAAATAAAAATAGTTAACCTTTTATTGTCCTTTAAATTACTACGCAACTCTCACTTCTGCAAGACCAAAGATTTCCAATTAATTTTCCACCATGAGAATATGAGGCGCTCCCAAAATGGCACGCTAATCAATCACATCTGGATCGACTGCAATCCACTTTGATACGGCAGCCCCCATTCTCATCTTTACAAAAATTACGCACTGGATATGCAAAGCCATACCCCACTGAAGCATTCAACCATTCACATGAACTACAGAGACAAAGCAAAAAAGCTATGCCTAGTCCAATCAATTGAACGGCAATGCTGCAATGCGTCCGCACACAGAACAATGTTCTGTGATCTTTTGCATATTAGTAAGTGCAAAGACGAGCGCCCTTTTTGAAGTAATCAGCCAGCAAACTGAACTACTTTAGTATATACTTCAACAAAGTGATTCGGAATTAAATGCAAAATCGTAAAGTGAAGAAAGTGACGACAAACACCGAAGTAAACATTTCTGGTGCAAACGAGTGAAAAAATAAACACAGCAATATGGCACACATACACACACACACACATTGCCACCAATACCAATTTGTTTTGGGTGAATCGATGACGAGTTGTACTGTTCACACATGCAACAACAAAAACAACTACCTGTACTTTTGTTGTTATATGTCACTGAACAGTGGTGTCATAGCAGAATCCTAGTTTATATGGACATATAACGAGGAAAAAATTAAAAAAAATAATTTGAGACTAACAAAATAGGATTGATTTTTTCATAACCTCCACCTTGAAAAGGAGGTATATTAACTTTGCCATTCCGTTTGTAACATCCCTAAATATTCGTCGTAGACCCCATAAAGTATATATATCCATAATCAGCATAAAATTCTAAGTTGATCTAACTATGTCCGTCTGTATATCTGCCCGTCTGTCTATCTGTCTGTATTTGACGTAGAGCTTCAAAATTTGGCGGAACAATTTGTATTGTGTCTAGGATGGTTGGTAATGAAAATGAGATATATCGGTCCACGTTTTTGTATAGCCCTCATGTAACGGTACCTCCCGATATTCGGTATTTTAATGATTTTTGCCACATTTTTTTACGGATTTGTCTAAAAATTGGTATTTTTAGGTCATAATGGATTCTAGCTTCGGTGGTGAAACATTGTATATATAGGTCCACATTTTGGTATAGCCGCCATATAATGGTACCTCCCGATATTCGGTATTTTGATGATTTTTGCCACATTTTTCGATGGATTTTGTATAAAAATTGGTAGTTGTAGGTCATAATGGTTTCTAGCTCCGGTGGCGAAACATTGTTTATATAGGTCCACGTTTTTGTATATCCCCCATATGGTATTTTCATGATTTTTTGCCACATTTTTCCATGGATTTTGTCTAAAAATTGGTAGTTGTAGGTTATAATGGATTCTAGCTCCCGTGGCAGAACATTGAAAATTTAGGTCCACGTTTTCCTATAGCGCACATATTACGATATTCACCGATATTCGGTATTAGGTGGTATTTAAGAAAATTTGGTAGATGACAATCCTTGAAGTATAAAATTGTCTATAGAGGTTCCCGTTTTGGTATTGCCCCACAGTCTCACCCACTTTATGGTTTTTTGAAAAGTTTAACAGTATTATCCAAACGGCCATACTAAACGGCCAAAGCTAGAATATTGAAATGTTGCGTAGGCGTATGATACGGATGGGTTTTTGGAAAGATAAAAAGTACTAAAATGTACTAAAAATGTAATACTTTGGAAAAACGGAATGAGCTAGAATTTGGAATGAGAGTCACTGATGGAGTGCAGGATAGATGTACCAACTTACGAATTTGAAGGTTACGAAAAGTTCTAAAATGGTACTCAACTTCTAAAACGGTACCCGTTTGTTATCATGTATACGGATAGAGCTAAAAAATTGAAATTTGATATGAGAATTAAGGTAAGAAAGTAAGTTTGATATTTAAAATGTGTACTAAGTGTGCGAACTGGTACAAAATTTGTTAAGGGTGAACAATTGAAGCTGGAATTTTTAAACTTTTTTTCATTTAAACACAACAGGTACCTTTATTCGTGACAATAGAAGAGAGTATTTAAACACAATATAAAGAGAGGATAAAATTTAACACCACCTCGTTACTTAACAGTTAAAAAAATGTTGCCAAACTGAACAATTTGCACATTTTGAGAACTAACCTGTAAGGAAAAGTCAAAAGTCGTGTGGGGCCGACTATATGATACCCTACACCACTATGCATAATTAGTAGAGCTCCCGTAACAAAAGAATTTATTTGAAGCAGATCATTCACCAACCAACATTTGGCTTTAGAGCAATTACAGTTTGGTTTCAGAGGGAACTAATACATGGGAGGCATGTCCAATTCTGAATCAATTTTCACTAAATATGAAGAGATATTTGGCTATTTGGTCCATAATTAATCCGAAATCGGTTGAAGATATATATGAGAACTATATGCAAATTTGAACCGATCTTGATAAAATTTGGCACAGGTGTTTCTGGGCTGTATCTGATATCTGGTACCAGATATCATTGTTGTCGAATGCATATATTACTAATGTGAGGGACTTAAACATCAAATCGAATGTAACATATAAATGGGAGCTATAGCTATATCTGAACCGATTTTCATAAATCTCATGTACTTGCTTCTAGACTGAATTCGGTAGGATGTACCAAAATTCAGGTCATTTGGACTTATATTGGCCATTTTGGTGCACAATTAACCTGAAATCGGTTAAAGATATATATGGAGATACATTCAAATCTGATCCGATTATCACCAATTTCAATAGGTTCGTCCTTGGACCAAAGAAATATTGTTTACAAAATTTTAACTCAATCGGGTATTAAATGAGACCTGCATTTTGTTCATAAGAATACATGGACAGACGGACATACAGAGGGACCGACATACATAAATCGAATCAGAAAGTGATTCTATGAGGATCCTCAAAAGTAATTATAGCTCTAACTCGCTTCCTTCTCTTTGCTACAAACAAATGCACAAAGAAAGGTAAAGGTATTACCAACTCAACTTGCCAACGTTCATTTAAAACAAGGATACTGCAGGATACAATTTTGTTATGGCTAAACTAAAATGACCACTTCATACCAAACGGCACTGTTTTCCAAAAATTAAGGATTATCAATTAAAGATAGGAGTTTTTGAAACACTTTTGAACACACAAGTGGCAATAGTAAACTCTATAATCACAGTTGCTTTGTAATTGAGACCATCAATCACTCCTAAATTCGGCTTATATGTTATTCTTGATAAATTACCGCAAACTCAAATACTTTCCAAAAAAAAAAAGCTTTTTTCAACAAACTAGTTACTATAAATTCATATAACCCATTTAACAATATACAAAGAAAATTTAATAATATTCAACTTACCGACTCATCGTAGGAAATATTTAAATTATTCGTTGGCAACTGAGAACCAGCAGTTGCCAAGTTTACATCTGTTGTCAACAATTGACATGGATCACCGCTCTGCCAATTCCCATGTAAATAGTACATAACCGGGCTCGGTTCATGCTGTTGATCGACAAGTTCGAAATTTTGCGTTGTTGAAGACACTAAAGGTTGTGATCTTGTCGAAGATCCGGCCGGAGTCTGTGAACCACGCATATCGCATTCATTTCCAAAACTTTCCACATATGCGGCTAAATTGCTCTTTGTCGGTGGTTGTGAGAAATATTGTTGGGTCTTTGGTTTACGACCACGTTTCTTGGGTGGTTGCTTTTCTTTGATGGCTTTGTTTGACGATTTCGTATAACGACGTTTTGCTGATTTTTCATTGTCAAACCCCAAGAACTCCGGTTGCGAGTGAGTGCTGGTATGTGGCAAGACACTGTAATTATCAATTATTTCGTTATTAATATTTTCCAAAGCATTTGTTGCTCTCCATGTCTCCTCCTCGCTACCAGTTGTACCGATTACATCGTTAATTAACTGCGACAATTCAGCTTCTTCTCTCTCTCGTTGGTCACTGCCACTGTCCGTGATACTTGTCACCATGGAGATGGATGGCCTTCGCTTGTAGGATCTTTTTTTCTTACTGTGTGGTGGCGGGGGATGTAAGGATTTCTGCAGAATTCTTTCTTTAGCAGCCTGTGCACGTGCATCAATAACCCTGCGCGTTATTTCAAGTTCACTGAAATTTATTTCGTGAAAATCCGAATTAAAAAGTGATGGGATTTTCAAATGGAAAGTTCGTGATGATGTGCCTTGTTCGGAGAATACATTCTCCTGTTCGCAATGATGAATTATCCCAGACGTAGAAACCGTTGAATCTTCCCTAAGGTTTTTGTGGTGGTGATTACCTTTCCTGTGGAAACTCACACTGTTATTTGAATGGTAACTTCTCTTTGATTTCGCCGGTGATATATATTTGGACGATCGTTTGCGTTTCCGCGGCGTTCTACGCAAAGAAAGCGGAACGTCTTCGTATTTGTCAAAAAGGTAACCTCGCTCGCTAGATTCATCCCTAATTCGTTTTGCGTTTCCGTTATGATGCCGTGATCTGCGAATTATAAGAGATTCATCGTCATCACTTGAACCCCTCTGTATCTCCTCTTTTATTTCTTCATCGCTTGCTTTTGTTTGACTTTTGTTTTCGTCGTCATCTTCTTTTAAAAAACGTTTGAGGTGGTAAATTTGTTGCTTCACTCTTTCCTCCCACTTATCATAAAGGGGCTCCATATGCTCAATTTGTACCACTGCCTCGCCCAGCAGTTGGTCCTCCATACGCTTACGCAGAACTGACAATTTCTCTGGTTTATATTTTAAAGTTGGATTGAGTAGCACGATTTGTTCCAGCAAACGCTCTGAATTAATACCAGAATTTGTATTGTCCATCTTATAGAAAACCCTTTGGATTTCAGTACTTTTTTATGTTATGTTATATTTAATAATTGTCAAAGGCACAAATGAATTGTTTAATCGTTTGATAGATAAATGTCTGTTTTAAAGAAAACCCATTATAATTTAAAGTTTTCGCAAAATTTAATAATAAAATAGGACGCTAGGAAAATAACCAAATTAAAATAATCAATGCGGAGGAATTCGAAATCCCGTTAGAATTTGTGCACGCGTATCCAACTATTTGCAATTCTGTGTGGCAACTCACAGCAACAGCCGGTCGACCTGAACAAATGCGTCAATGCGAACGTATAACGCAATATCATAGTACGTTCATATCATGGCTCAATAAGAAAGTTTGCTCAACAAAATTGAATTTGAAATACACAATTTCAAATTATTTTTCTGTTTATTCAAAACAATACACACACAAATACAAACTGTGTATATGTTTTGACAGAGTAGAGGCACCCAAAGAAAAAAATTGTATTTAGGGAGTAGCTTTGTTCTTACTTCTGTAATTATGTCATGGGTGTATCCATGGTAAAATAATGAGGTAGAACACCTTCGTAAAGCTACAGAAATACAGCCCTGAGGCTATACACGCTTCCTGTCAAACTCATTCAAAATTATATGCAACAAGTTGTTATTTGGCTGGCTTCTTCGTAGAGGAACGAATGAGTTTTAGGTTGACTTAGATCGATTTTGGCCCTAGGCTCATTTGTTCCTTTCCAAAGAAGCTAGTCGATGACTTAAACCAGCCAGATAAGCTCTTTATGTATTCCCACATTAAGGGTGGAAGCCAGCCGCTTTATGTATTCAAATCTTTATTCTTTTTTGAACTTGTCTTCAAGGCAATTATTTTCTGCAATTTTCTTTTTCATCCTTGTCTTTTCTGACATTTTTAATTAAATTTTTGTATGAAAATAAAAACATTCGGACTTTTAAAGACAAGAATTTTTTTATTTATATCTTTTATATTACCAGTTTCTGGCTACAAAAACGAGGTTCAAAAAACATAAAAGTAACAGCCTTGGGTTTTTTAAAATTTTAACATACATTTTATTATTTAACAAATTAAAGCTTTTAACAACATTGTATCACAACACATGTCAAGTTATATTACACTGTTCACATATTAAAATACTGTCTATAACAAATTTATGCATTTACTTCATAATACACAACAGTCTGTTCATGGGCATTATAGTAATCATAAATTGTAATTGGAGCCGGTTTTAATTTATCCACAGCATGAGATTTGTCTGCTAAAATATCTAACGAAACGGGTTCTCCAGTACAAAGTTGTTCAAAATAGACAACTATAACGGTATCATCGTTTTTAGTTTCTACCCTTTGAAAGCGAGAAACTTTACGAATTGGTTCTAAGCTATCATTGTGTGTGGTATATCCTGAGGGCAAAGCAATTTCCATGACAACCATATTTGAACTTTTCACATCATCCGATTGCGATTTATATTCAGCGATGATATTCATTGACAGTTGACCTGGAGCTGATGATGATGCGTTGACGGTGTATTCAAGTGCAAAACTGGGCTTGGTGTTTTGAGTATTGATATTATATTGATAGGATAATTGTATCAATGCAGATCCTTCACCATCACCGCTAACGCAAACTTGTCGAGTCGATTTGGGTAACTAGAGGAGAAGTAGACATAACGAAAAAGTCAATAAACATATGGCGAAATGGGCTATAATTGAGTTTCTAACATACCAAATGACTTTGTAAAATTAGCGAATTCTCTTGGTCGACACTGAAACTGCCCGATGCGGTTTCAATTCCCTGCTCATCAACACCTTGGAATTTAATCATGGCGTGCCCATTACCGGCTGCAGCATATTTTTCTGCAAATGCCACCAATGCTTTGAGACCAACAACTGTGTCCTGTGTAGAGTCGAAACCTCCCAAATTATTGCGTTGACCTATCAACCATTTGAGAATGGGTAAAAGCTTTCCTGGTTCTGTTTCTGTCTCCAATAGAGATTGCAAGATGTACGCTGTCACCTCGATGTCATTGTTGTTATATTTCAAAGAGTTGGACCACCATTTTAAATTACTGCCAAATTGCGATTTACTTTGTATTTTGTCAATGATACTTGATGCCAGAGGATGATTTACTTTTTGGAATACCAATAGTATGAGGGACAGCGAATAAATATTGTCTTCTTTTGCCACATTCTCCGCAAGATATTTTACAGATTTGTCGATTTGGGGCTTATACTTCAGGGCATAATCCTATAAGCAATGAAAAAAATTAGACCATTCTTACGTATTTTTGGGGGCTATTCTCACTTACCTTATCTTCTAGGAATGCTAGCAATATAAAAGCGGACACTCCCAACTCATTCTGATTCGAAGAATGAAACAATCGACCCGTCTGGGGAAATTGGCCATTATCCTTTTGCGTTCCCAATAAATACTCTAAGGCATCATCAATAATTTTACTGTCGATTGTCATGAACTTGCGAGCCTGGATAAACGAACGGGCCACATAGGCTGTTAACCAGCTGTTCGATTCACTGGAGCCCTCGCCAAAAGCACTGTACGAACCATTCTTATGCTTATAGGTTAGTTCCCTTTGAAAGCCAGTCTCCATATAGTTTTTGGCTTTTTGTACCAGCGATGGCATGTCACGACCGGTGGCCTTCAAATACTCCAACACCAAAATATTTGGTACGAAATTTATCATATTTTGCTCGCCACAACCGAACGGCATGCGTACCAATTTATCGATATTTTTAATGGTGGGTCCCAAAATATCTCCCACAACCATAAATTCCAAATATTCCGAATCCAATACGACCTCCTTGGGAATATTGGCTTTCAATTTATGCTCCACAGCCTGTCCGTTTGGTATGGTCATGAAATGACATTGATTTTCATATTTTGTCACACCCTCCGGTTCTACTTTCAATTTTTGATGCATTGCATCTCCGGCCAGCGGCGTAAGGGCTTTGATTTTTAACATAATATCGCCAACAACTTTTGGTTTAATTGAAAATGTTAGGGTTTCGGCCCCATTCGAAGGTACAACTACTTTCTTTGTAAGTGTGTTTGCACTCGAATCTTCCATAAAATCATATTCGTTGTCGTCATTTTCCATAGTAACTTCTGTTTCCAAATCATGTTCCATGTAATTGAATACCACTATGGGTATGGCAATAATTTCTCCTCGTTTAATTGAGTACGGTAGGTTAGTGCTTAGAAAGAATGGCTGAAAGACACGTATTTTGGTTGCTTCTTCTGTCAAACAGAATCCGGTTTTATTATTTATTGCAAATCCAGTAATAACCCATGAAGTAATCGTATCGGGAATCTTTTTGCTAAAGCTTGCCGTACCATTAGCATCAGTGCTGAAAATGAAATGTATTATTTTGGGGGGTGCGGTGTTAAACGATTCTGACTAAAATATTCAAACTACCTCTCTATGTTGTCAAATATCCAGTTTTCAACAAAATCTTTTCGTATTTTTGGAGGTTCAATGAATGCGCAAGTTTCCTCAATAGCTTGAGCCTTTAAAGACCTTTGCATAAGCATGGGTGCTGCTCCAAAAAGTCCTCCCCGAGCTTGTCCGCCAAATGCCATGGCTGGTGCTGCCGAAAAGCAAGTTGCATACATAGGAGGAGGGGCTAGAGAAATAATAAAAGTTTGTTATTTTCTAGAAGTCATTCCATTACTTTAGATTGACAGTACTTACGTGGCTTCGGTAGTGAGGCATTTGTCAGTGTAACAAATCCCGAACTGAAACCAGGAGTGTCCCACGAATGAAATGAGAAACAACCAGGCTTTGAGGAGATTTCATAACAATTTAAATCGCTCAAAATCTGGTTTTTATCGAAATCATTGCCGGTCTGCAGTAACAAGACGCTCTGATCAACACCCAAAAGCCCAATAAAAGAGTCTGGATCACTTTTGATACTTAAATTGATGACATCACTTGCTTTTGCTTGTTCTGGGGCCATAATTTCAAGCTAAAATTTTGAAAATATATAAAATTACTTTTCAATATACAATTAAATCGGAATTCTCACCTTATTCTCGAACATGTTGCAAACATTTATTGTGGTCTCATCGAAACGCAATTCTCCATTTTCAATGAAATAAATGAATATTTTTGCGCTCGGCATCATGTCGAATGTTGCCTTCAGATGTAGGGCATACTCGTATTTGTTTTCCCCCTCGACATGGATATATTTATGCTGAATGATTCTTCCACGAGCCTTTATTGTATAGACCAAATAAGATAAAGGACTTTTAGATTTAACAGCCAGCGTGAATTCTTCGTGAAGTTTGGGACTATTGGCAAAGTAATGGGTTAGTTAAAAATCGAAGAAGAAGTTGAATTATATTTTTATACTCACTCCTTAGTCAGAGGGCATATTTCAAATAGCTTAGTCGAATTTATTGTTGACGCTGAAGACTCTGAGGATAAATCTTTCCCAATTTCAAATCCGGAACAATGCTGAGTTTCTTCTTCAAACATGATCCGCACATTGTCATAGTAGCCTTTTTTCGATAATTTCAATTTGAATACAGCAATGCCACATTCATTGATATCACTTTCGAAAATCAAATCCGCTCCCGAACCACCGCCGTAAAAAGGTCTCCGGAAACAACCCCGAACTACATTTCCATTATTCTGCCCAATCATTAGTTTAGCAGTCGATTTTGCATTGGATACTGGCAAGCCATTAAGCCGTTTAACTATGGCCTTAATTTCAAAATACTTATCAACTTCGTATTCCCCTTGAATGTCCGGTGTGGTAATGGTAAAACGTGAACGCCTCACTCTAATGGTCGTCGATGTGCTCTGTTGCAAATCGGTAAGCTCTTCAGTCATGGTGGCCTCAACATTAATTTCAGGCATATATTGATCCAAATAATTTTCCAATTTTAAGTCGTCCATTAGACTGAACTCAACCTGACCTTTGCCAATAATGTTGAGGCTTTTCTCCACTTTTTCCAGCTGGCCATCTCCAAAATTTGATTTAAAGTTAACAGCCACTGTTGCCTTACCCTTGACTGGCTTGCCGTACGTGTATTTGGAACGAACTACAATTTTCACCACCTTATCCAAAATTGCAACCTCTTTGTCTGTTTCAATTTCTATCGTAAACTTGGGCAGAACATATTTGGCAACTTCAAAGTGCTTTTTGGTTTTATCTTTGTTTTCCGCACCAGCTGTTATATCAATATACCAATTTCCCAATACTGGCTGTTCGGACAATTGGAATTTTCCACTGTGCACACCTTTGACGAACTCTATATCCTTGATGTATTTGATTTGGTTGTCCGCGCCATCGCGTATGCCAAAATTAAGAGGTTCCTTGAGTTTGGCTGGTCTGAGATTTTCATCCAAGGCCAGAATTCGATATTGCACTAGATCGCCGGGTTTATACATGGCTTTGTCGGTTTGTATATACACTTTTGGTTTGTTGTAAGCCACACCCAAAGTCTCCGATTTTTTGAAAATGAGACCAGCCACTCCTTCTGTGTGTAATTCATATTTGCCTTCTTCCAAAAATGCGGGAATATTAAAATTTACAATTTCCGAGGTTGATGGTTGGACCTCAATGGTTTTGATGTCCGTATAAGAAGGACCTAATATACCGATTTTAATGCGGGCAGCTTCTTTAATTTCATCAATGGTTATGGTGACCGAATAATCCATGTCCGCCTGTATTGTGGCGGGTGCAACAATTGTGTAGAATCTGAAAAAAAGATGTCAAAGAAAAAAATAGTCAAATTTAGATAAGTTTTGAGTTTGTTTTTTATTATTAAGGGTCGCAGGGTAATTGCATGTTTTAGAGTGTAAAAAGGAGACAACTTGGTATTCGCCACTCCCACTGCCGCAACTTTTGTTTAAGTATCATTCTTCATAAATAATCTCAAGTTATAGATAATTAAGATACAAATTGAATTCGACCCATAGCGTGAATGAACAAGGCGTAGCCCAACGTCAAGGAAGTGGACGGAAGAAAACAGCAACATTTGCAGAAATGGTTCGAAAAGTAAAGAAGCGACTTGATCGAACCCCGCGTTGCAGTGGCCGAAAAATGGCTCGTGACCGCAATACTCCATTCGGCAAATATTGAAAAATCAAGTCGGAGTAAAGCCATTAAAATTCCAAAAAGTGCAAGAACTTACACCGCAACAGAAACAAAATAGACTCAAAAGAGCTAAAGATTTGCTTCGCTTGGCCGAAAGTGGTGAACTGCCGAATTAGGTTTTCTCCGATGAGAAAACATTCGTTGTCCAGCAGTTGGTAAACAAACAAAATGATCGGTCAGCTGAAAATGTGCACCATCGTGATGACGTGGGCTGACATAACAGCCGATGCTCGCTCCCCGCTCGTATTAATCGACCGTGAGTGGCATAGGAATAAATGCGGAATATTGTCGCGAAAATATTCTGGAGGGTGTATTAAAGCCTTGAGCACGCAAACATTTTGGCCGCAGACCTTCCAACAGGACTCAGCACCATCGCACACAAGAATAATTACAAAATGAGGTTCCTCGCTTCATTTCCAGCGCACAATGGCCACCAAAATCTCCGGATACTAATCCGTTGTACTATTGTGTTTGGAGTATTTTGGAAAACAAGGTTGGCATTAAAAAATACCAAAGTGTCTATCACCTCAAGCAAGCGCTTCGCCGGAAATGGGCCAAAATAACGCAGAGCAACATTCGGGCGGCGTGTGACGGTTTCATTGGCCGTTTGAAGGCTACAATTCGTGCCAAAGGTAATCAATTCGAACAAATCTAAACTTATTCTAAAATTTGATGCTATTTCCGACATTTTTTGCTTCCATGCAATAGAATTTAAAAACAAGAATGTAAAAATTATGGCGTTTGACTTTGTTGCAATTTTTTATCTCACCCTGTCGATTGATAAGTTTTTGTAAATAGCGGATCTACAATACAAGAAATGAAAATTCCAAAATTTGGCAAATTTAAATGAAAAATACCTGAATTCGAAGTTATCCTCACATGGGGACTATTCCAAAATGTGGACCGATATGACCCATTTTCTTTACCAATGGTCCTGGATGTAATCCAAAGATCTCTATCCCAACAAATAATTTTAACTTTTAAAACATAAATTTTGAATGTAATTTTCATAAAAACTATTGTACCTAGATATATGGCTTATCCTGAGATTAATAGTGAAATTTCGTGTCCGTTCGTCTGTTCCTCTGTCCGTCTGTGGAAATCACTCTAGCTTCCGAACGAAACGAAGTAAGTTGATAAAATTCTGTTCAAATGTCTGCAGGACTTTTGATATTGAAAATGTCCGTGCAGGCCCATGCCTTCGTATAGCCCCCATATAACGGCACCTCTCGATATTCGGTATTTTGATGATTTTAGCGACGTTATTCACCGGAGTTGTTTCAAACTTGGTATTTGAAATTCGTAATGGATAATGCAGCCTATGACAGAAAATTGTATATGCAGGTCCACGTTTTTGGTGATTTTAGCTACATTATCTCCGGTTTTTTTTTTCAAGTTTCGCATTTGGATATTGTAATGGCTTGTGACAAAACTTGCCTATGCAGGTCCACGTCGTCGTATAGAGCCTAATTAACGGCTACATTCGGTATTTTTAAGATTCTAACAGAATTTTAAACAGATTTTATTTTTTATTTATTTATTTTTTTTGAAAATTGCCAAATTCGTTCCAAATGGTGAAATGGCCCGGCCGTACTGACAGCTTTTTTACTTGTTTTTTTGATACAATAGAAATGGAGATTTCTGTTCTTGGCGTTGAACAAGATATAGACTTTTGACGTCTTCTATGTAGTAAAATCTTATGACAAATAATATTTTAAAATACTTCGATTTGCTACGATCCCATTTTTTTAAAATGGACAAAAAGACCTCTTTGTTGACACGCTTGAGGGTTAAAATTTTCGAGCAAAATATTCCTCGTATTTTTATCTGCAATATTGCGGAAGACGCTATGTACCAAAAATGCACAGATTTTAAGGAATCCTAATCCGAAAATTTCAAAAAGTGGGGGAAAATTCCCCCCTCTATTTTGGTTACTTTTCGACAGCGTAATTTACAGTGCAGAGCTGGATATGCTTATTTGAAATGAGACTAAATTCAAATAATGGTAACGTGAAAAACTGTGAATGTTCGGAACTTGAAAAAGTTAATTATGGAAGGTTTTCAGCAGTCAATTCCATTGCTAATGCATTACAGGATTTGAGAGTCGATTTCATGTACGCACATGCAATTGACAGTTCAAATCCACCCAATTTTGGTAAATTGTAAACGTAATTTTATTTTCGCTGTGAGGATGCAACAACACATGGTAGAAGAATACAGGTAGATGTATCAAGGCTTGGGAACATTGATATGTCAAAATTTTTTGAAATTCTTTTCAAATACGAGTCATTCGGAGGTTATTATTCTTAATTCGGAGGTTATCTTTCTTATACGACGTCATTCGGAGGTTATTATAAACGCGTTTTTCAACAATTTTTACAAATTGAAATAAATTTTCATTAAACATTTTCAATTCCAAAATTGGTTTGACAGTTTATTGTCCCAGCAGCTGTGTCGATGCGTCTACCTATATTCTTCTACCATGGATGTGATGATTTCATGTACGCACAGACAATTAAACAGTTTAAATGCACTCAATTTTGGTATGTGTTAATGTAATTTTATTTTCGCTGCGGGGATGCACCCAGGTGAATGAATACTTTATACCGTGTTTACACTATATTATTTTTGCAACTTTTACAATTTCGAAACGTAAAGGAAGGAACGTAACGCTTATTTCCACCCAGTAAAAAAATAAATACATGTTTTATATATATACTAATAACTATCATGAAACAATTAAAATTAATTTCAAAAGTAATTTTAAATGCCACGTATAATAAAGATATTGAAATATAAAATTTATTATTATCTATTATGGTGAAATACCATTAACAATATCTGATGATATCAAGTAAGTAGTAAGTAAGTAATCGATTTATTGAGACTAATTTCATTTCGATAACAAGATATGTACAGAGAATGATTAGCTTAATTTAGAACTATTATTGTCTTATTCTAACACGTATGTATTGTGAGATGCTACTTGCAAAAGAGACATGTTAAAGTTATATATGTATAGAAACATGTACGAAAATGATTAAAGGCTTGCTCCCGGCCTGAACATTTGCTGACAGCGCTTCTGACGGCTGTCAAATAAATATTCTCTTAAAACTAAATAACAAAAACAATTCGAATGTGTCTGCTTTGCAATGGTAAACAGAGCGTTTACAATTATAAACATAAACAATTGTAAATAAATATAATAAATGAGTGATTAAAGTGTATATAGTAAAATAAGATAAATCACAGCGAATTCCAATTAAGCATAATTTGGATATTATAAAATATAAAAATTAATTTATCACAGTTATAACGAATTCTCACATGTGGAGACAACTCTAAGTTTTAAAAAATATTTTTTTTTGATTGTTAACCCCTATGGGTACCTGGTGTAGCTTTTATATAAAAATGTGGTGTTGTATTGCCTGGAACGGGCTCTATGTTTTCATTCAAGATTCCAATTGTTGACAGATACTGCGACGATGACCAAGAAATGTTTTTATCTCTGTCATAGATTTCATTCATCAATACGTTGTCGTGGTTGGGGAGTTTCTCAACGAATCTCTTTTGGATGTTTAGGGCGTATAGACAGATTGGTTCTATTCCTGAATTGCTATATATGTAAGTATTGGATAACATTTTCGTGGGATTTTTATATTTCTTATTTATGCATTTCCGTAGGATTTTTCGTTCGAAGATCTCCAATTCCTTCATGACCGATGGCGAGATGGAAAACCAAATTGGAAATCCATACAGCAGAATTGGACGAATGGCTGCCTTGTATAGTAGGAGTTTAGTCTTTTGTGGTAAGTACTTATTGTTAAATAAAAATGAAAATTGTCCAACTACTTTATTTGCTCTTTCTATGGTAGATCGAACGTGTGAATTAAATTTAAGCAGCATATTAAATGTTACTCCAAGGTACTGCATGTTTGCTTTAAAAGGGATTTCCACACCTTCTAACGCCGTTCGTAGCAGCTTACTTTCCGGTACCACATGTTTTGGACATTTTCCCGATGCGTTCCTTATGCAGATAGCTTGAGACTTGGCAGCATTAATGCATATACCCCATTTTTTATAATATTGGTGTATTATAAATAAGTGCTCCTCTACGTGACGTAGTGCATACTCCGGTGAAGCATTATGTGCATAAATTAGACAATCGTCAGCATAGAGAATTGCTTTTGAATGAGATGTTGAGTGAGGAAAGTCATTTAGAAATGTGTTGAACAGAAAAGGTGCTAAGACACTCCCTTGAGGAACCCCACTGTTAACTGAACCTTGGATTGACTTGTCGTTTCTTATTTGTACAAAGAATTTACGATCGGAAAGGTAATTTTGTATTATTTTGATTAAAAATGGGTCCACACCCAGTTCAATGAGTTTATATACAATTGTTTTGTGGCACACGGAGTCAAAGGCTTTTTCTATGTCCAAGGATATGGCTACAGTACTGATACGGTTTTTCAAATTTGCTGTAGTGTCGTTGTGGAACTTTAAAAGCGCGTGCTGTGTTGAATGCTTTCGTTGGAAACCAAATTGAAAGTTAGATATATGATTTGTAATGAACTCATTTTCTATTTTTTCTTTTAGGACATGTTCAAAGATTTTACCGAGATTTGATAAGAGAGAGATCGGACGATAATCAGCAACACTTTCGCTATTGGCCTTTTTTTGGACTGGAACAATTTTTGCTAGCTTCCACATTTTGGGAAAGTAGCCATTATTGATGGAGTTATTACAAATGCATGTTATAATTCGCAGAGCAGTTTCAGGAAATTTGCGCATAACAAAATTTGAGATTCCATCAACTCCACTTGACTTTTTATTATTGGCCTTTTGCATAATTTCTTTGATTTTTTCAGGATTGGCGAAATGGTAATTATCTGTATTTGATATTGAGTTGAACTGTCTGTCGAATGAATATATACTTGGAGATATGGATGTGAGACAAGAAGAAATTCTAGATTGAAGAATATCCGTTGGAAGTCCAGTTATAGTTTCTTGAAAGGAAGACGTATAGTACTGGTGGAAATGATTTGCAATTTCAGAATTATTAAAAACAGTGGTGTTATTGACCTGCAATTGCTGGCAGAACGGGGATTTCTTTCTGCCGCTGAACTTATAAATCTCTTTAAAAGCAGATGGGCCAGGTTTAATATCTTGAAGACGATTGTTGAATGTGTCAGCTTGTTCGATGCTTATTGATTCTTTTATTACTACTTTCAGAAGCTGAATTTGTTTGGATAATATGCGGTAATCGCTGCTCATTCTATTTCCTGTTCTATGAAATATCTTTTTTAATTCTTTCTGCCATTGATGTTTTACTTTGTAAAGCCGTTTGGATCTCTCAGAGAGAGGAAAGAGGCCGTTGTTGATTGTGATTATCTGTGAGTGGGCATCGTGGATTGAGTTGAAACAGCTGTTGAAGGAGTCAACTAATCCATCAATATCTTCATTACTAAGATTAGTTTCTGCTGAAGGTAAGATGTGTTGAGAAGCGTTTTCAAGATCCCTACGGAAGTTCTCCCAATTTGTATTTTTGTAGGAAATATATGAAGGAGGAGCATTTAAAATCAAGTCGGTACAATCCATTTTTATTGACATTTTTAACGGGAAATGGTCCGAAAATGATGGTAATGAGGAAATTACGAAGTTTGGTGTTATGTTGTCCAACAGATTGGAGCTGACAAGAAAATGATCCAAATAGGAAGGGCCATTCGGATATGACGGTGACACATCGCATACTCGAACTACGTCTAATATGTTTGTTTGCAGCCAAGCTTTCAAAGATTTTCCGTTGGTATTCTCTGCAGAGTCACCCCAGTCTGGGTTTCTTGAATTTAAATCCCCACCAAAAATAAAGCCGTCATAACTTGCACACACTTGCATGAGTTTATCTAGATCAGCTTCCAGCTGCTGAGCAGGATAATTGCAAGGGACGTATAATGATCCCAACGCGATTTTTTTTCGAACTGAATTTTGTAGACATTCAATTTGAATCATGCATGTTTTTACGCCGACATCACTGATAACAATTTTTGTGTGCAATATGGACTTTTTTATTAAAACGGCTACGCCAATGGGTGAGTTATCATTAACAATATCATATCCATCTATTCTAACTTTCCTGCTTCTTCGTAGGTGGCACTCTTGGATAAATCCCACATCGATGTTATTGGCCGAAAGCGTTCTTTGCAGGTCTATTTGTCTACTTTTGTCATTAATAGATCTAACATTGAATGTCAATAAATTAAGCATTCTATGGATCATATTGCTGCTTGACTTTTTTAAGAATTCTAAGGAATTCTACTCTGGCTTTTGATTTTTCCATGTTTTTAAAATCTTTTAAAAATATAGAAATTTCTTGTTCAAGTGACATTTGTTCAGGTTCCAAAAAGTAATCAGCAAGTTTTAAGAAATCTGTCACTATTGGTGGTTTCTGAATGGTTGAGTTGTTTTCATTCTGTCTAAAATGACTAGCAAACGGTTTGTGTGGCGATGTATATGCCATACTAACGGCTTTAACATTTCTGATAGCTGTGGCTTTTTCTTCCTGCATTTTACTTATTTGAGTCTTTTTAGATGTAATATATTTTTTGTAAATTGGGCAACCCTTAAAATTCGCCGGGTGTCCAAAAGCTTGGCAATTTACGCAATATGGATCTGAAGATTCAGATCGTACTCTCTGGCAATTACCAGGCTCGTGGAGTTTGTCGCATTTAACGCATTTGAATTCAGAGTTGCAGTTACGCGAGATATGACCCCACCTCTGGCACCTGTGGCATTGGGTCTCGCTGTCTTTTCTGTTGGGTTTTTCCCAGTATACGTCCTGGTACCAAATGCTTTCAATGTGATTAACATCTCCAGGTTTCTTTCCTGGCAACAATGACACTAAGAATAAACCTGTGTCAACTCCCTTTTTAACCGAAAGGGGAGTGGTGAAGTTTGTGACTGATGCCACAGTGTTTGGGACAAGTAAGTCTAACTCGGCTTTAATTTCATTTCCGTCCTTGTAACAATAAAGGCCCCTCAAAATTAAGCCAACCTGTTTTAATTCCTTTGGAGTAAATGAATACGAGTGAATACCTTTCTCTCTCAAGAGGGACATCATTGAAGTGTGCACCTTGTGGTCAGCAAAGTACAACTTGCTTTTGTTTTTGTTGACATTTTTCACTTTAAACCCAGATTCTGGGACAGATTCTTTGAGAGTATCAACTAGTGTTTTAATGTTGACGTTGAATACAAAAATGGGGGGACACCATTTTGTTTTTGGTTGTGGCTGTGGTTTTCCTTTTGGCGGGTTTGGTTTGATTTGTGTTTCATTGACAGTAGAGGAACCTTGTATATTGACATCAGCTAATACACTAAGGATGCCAAATCTGTTTTGGTCTAGAGGTTCGTGGTTAGTCAATTTTTCTTTCAGTTCAGAAATGTCGATGTTTAATGGTGAAATCTCGTTGTCAATTCGCATTCGTTTGCGTTCTTTTGCATTAACTAGGTTTGTTGTTGTTTTACCTGGCTGTGCCAAAAAATCAGTGTTGTTGGAAGTTGACGCCACCTCTTCCACCACGTCAAACTCCATATCTGGTAAAGATGTAGGCATCATTCATGCACAGGAGATGCAATTCTGATGCCCTAATGTTGAAATTTCAAAAAATTAATTTAATTTAAAGTTTGATTTATTTTCCGCTTTAAAACAATGCGTCTGATTTGTTTAAGGACTTTGGGCGTAAGCAATCTGATGATATCAACTAAGTGTTTTATACACGAACACATATTGCAAATAATAGTTGTGTTCCAGTACTTTTTTAGTAGTAAAACTAGCAGAAGAGAGAACAGTTCGAAATGTCATTCTCATTTAGGTTTGCTCAAAAAAATAAGGGAACGGAAAATTAGCAGAAATGCGATAAAATGTCAAAATTCAAAATTCCAAAAGTAAACAGCCTAAATCGGACTGGTGAAACCTTACTGAAAAGAGCGCCAACATTTAAAAAATGAGTATTGAAGACGATAAGTTAAAATTAATAATTTATAATAATAATTAATAATCTGATTCCTCATTCAGCCAGTCCTCTTCACTGCTGAAATCATCCAAAAGTGAATACACCAGTTGCTCCATATTTTTTCTTTGTTTTTTGCACGACAAATATTAGTTTTTCCTTTAGTTTTCAAGTTGATCATTTTCTTTATTGAAATGTATCAATACATTTTTCAACCTTGTTAGCCCTGCCAATTAAATGTCAAATTTACAATATGCACATTTCTGCTCGGCCAAATTCATGTAGCTAAAACAAGCAGAAATGTGCACCACTCAGCGCCATTTTTTTCTCGAGAGAGCTGCAAGTTTTGGTAGTTTTTGGAGTACGGGAACGCGTTGTAGCAGAATTAGTGCTAATTAGTACTAATTTGCAGGTTCTGGAACACAACTAATACATGCAGTGAAATCTGCATAAAAACAGAAGGTTTGGGCCTTTAATTTAATATTTTTTTTAAAGTAAACCAGAACACTAGTCTTCTATTTTAGAGAGTTAAAGAGTTTCAACTGTATAATTTGTAATTTACCCATTTTTGCTGTCCATTTTTTTGCGGTATGAATATTCAAACTTTACTTGACACTGTTAAAAACACTTCTGATCTCAGCGATTGTTAAACAACAACTAATGAAGTAGTGAGTCATTTTACCAGAAGCCAATAGCTGCCGGGCAATCAATTTGAACTTGAAAAAACAAACAACCAAAACAATAATACACAACGTAAATATAAACAAACTAGAATCAGCTGTTTAAGGAATTCGACTTGCGCAGTTGCATTTTGCTTTTGTTTTGATGTATTAGCACAGTTATTTGACGCGGTATCGTGTTTGTGTCAACTGTTAGAAAAGAATCTAAAATTTTGAAATAACAATCATATGGAAATGCAAACGTCACCTAAAAATTGGATATTAATGCAAAACATGGCAAAAATCAAAGTATAATTAACAAAATTTGTAGAACCGAATCTTTTATATCAGTAGCGTGTCAAAACAATAGAGTTAGACTCATTTGCTAAATCGAATATGACAACCCTTTCTTAAGACGAACACTACAGGGTGTGATGAAAAAACTGCAACCAACTTCAGACTGCTGTCATTTCTAACATTTTTCCAGTGACAGCTCATTATATTGTTTACAAGCAAAAGCATTTTGGTGAGAATTTTCCAGAAAAAAAGTTATTCGTGATGGAATTCAAGCGTGATAGTGTGATTTCTTTATATTTGGCTGGAAAACCACAAGTGGCTACCGTTAGAGCACTCCAGCATTTAAATGTAAATAAATCTTTTGTATATCGTGCCATCGCTCGTTACCGTGATACTGATAGAGTAGCCCGACGTCAAGGTAGTCGAGGGAAGAAAACAGCAACATCAGTAGAAATGGTTCGAAAAGTAAAGAAACAACTTGATTGAAACCCGCGTCGCAGTTGCCGAAAAATGTCTCGTAAGCTAAACATATCGCAATATTCCATTCGGCAAATATTGAAAAATGAGCTCGGGCTAAAGCCATTAAAATTACAAAAAGTGCAAGAACTTACACCGCAACAGAAAGAAAATAGACTCAAAAGAGCTAAAGAATTGCTTCGCTTGGTCGAAAGTGGTGGACTGCCGAATTTGATTTACTCCGTGTCCAGCACAAAATGATGGAGTTTACTTGCCAAAGACGTCAGCTGAAAATGTGCACTTTCTGTTGGACACCACAACTCAAGCGCCGGCCATGGTGATGGTGAAGGCCTGCATAACAGCCGATGATTGCTCTCCGCTCGTAATCATCGAATCATTCAGAATAAATGCCGAATATTATCGCGAAAATATTCTGGAGGGTGTATTCGGCACGCAAACATTTTGGCCGCAGACATTGGACATTCCAACAGTACTCAACACCATCGCACAAGAATGGTTACAAAATGAGGTTCCTCGCTGCATTTTCAGCGCACAATGACTACCAAAATCTCCAGATACCAATCCGTTGGACTATAGTGTCTGGAGTATTTTGGAAAGCAAAGTTGGCACTAAAAAATACGAAAGTGTCGATCACCTTAAGCAAGCGCTTCGCCAGGAATGGGCCAAAATACCGCAGAGCAACATTCGGACAGCGTATGACAGTTTCATTGGCCATAATTCGTGCCAAAGGTGACAAATTCGAACAAATCTAAACTTATTCTAAAATTTGATGCAATTGTTTCTATGTGTACCCGACTTCTGCCTTTTTTGTGTATGTATTTATTGTTTTGAAAAAAAATATATATATATATTTTCAAAATCAATGTTTGGAAGAAACCTAAATTGCGGGGCGCGCATTAATGAAATTAACCAGATTTGCCATGGAGTTGAAAGATTGAACACTTAGGATTATATTTTTGAGAGAATATCCAGGTATTTAATTTATCATTCGCGCTATTTGACTCATTTTGAAAATGAACAAATAATGTCAAATAAATGAAAAGAACTTGTGGCATATAATTTTGACAGGAAGCGGGTTCAGCCTAAGGACTGTATTTCTCTAGAAGCTGTTCTACCTCCTTATTGTACCATGGATGGAACTTGTTTTCTATGCAGCGAAATTTGACAAGGTAAAATGCAGAGATGGGTATGCTTATTTGAAATGACGTTAACTTCTTAATTTTACCATGGGATAATCGCTAACCGCTTATTTTATATTGAAGAACTGAATTATAAATTTATTTCACGAAATTAAATACAAATTCATTTTGTTTATTATTTCTAAACAAAAACAAGTAAAAAAAACATTAAGTTCGGCCGGGCCAAACTTTTAATACCCTCCACCCTAGGGTAAAAGAACACTAGAAGAAATGTGGCAAAAACATTAAAATGCCGAATATCGGGAGGTACCGTTATATAGGGGCTACACCAACACGTGCACCTATAATTACAATATTTCGCCACACGAACTAGGACCCATTATGACCCACAAATACCAACTTTTACACAAATCAGTGAAAAAATGTGGCATAAATCATCAAAATACCGAATATCGGGAGGTACCGTTATATGGGGACTATACCAGAACGTGGACCTATACATGCAATGTTTTGCCACACGCTCAGGGACCCGTTGTGACCTACAAATACCAATTTTCAGACAAATCCGTGAAAAAATGTGGCATAAATCATCAAAATACCGAATATCGGTAGGTACCGTTATATGGGGGCTATACCAAAACGTGGACCTATACATGCAATGTTTTGCCACACGCTCAGGGACCCGTCATGACCTACAAATACCAATTTTCAGATAAATCCGTGAAAAAATGTGTTATAAATCATCAAAATACCGAATATCGGGAGGTACCGTTATATGGGGACTATACCAGAACGTGGACCGATATATCACATTTTCAATACCAACCATCCTAGGGACAATACACACACTTGTGCCAAATTTCAAAGGTCTACGTCAAATAATGTGGGCTGTATCGTGATTTCAACAGACAGACAGACAGACGGACAGACAGACAGACGGACATAGCTAAATCGCCTTAGAATTTTATGCTGATTATGAATATATATACTTTATGGGGTCTACGACGAATATTTAGAGGTGTTACAAACGGAATGACAAAGTTAATATACCCTCCTACCCATGGTGGAGGGTATAATGAAGATGTCATTGCGAAAAAAAAAACTCAGCGATTATCAGTTGCTTTTACAAAAAGCTTGCCATATCTCACAAAAAATCACTTATTTTAACGGAAAGATGTAATAATGAAAACCCTATAATGTGAACTTCATCGTTCACTTTTCCTAAAGTAAAGGTAAAAGTACATAAGAAGCTTGAAGTCATGGCTAGGCATATTTTGTGACAATTCATAAAGGGATTATAGAGCCGCACTAAAATCCTGCCGTCGTTTTCCATTATAATTTGACATTAATATGCCTAGCCATAACTTCAAGCTTTTTTTGTACTTGCACCATTATCCCAATAAGCGTAAACTTTATCCCAATATTATATTCTTCCTCTATGCATCGAATACAAATAACTAATTGTCTAAAGCAATCAAACCAAATGTGTATCATCTTTAATATTATTTTTTTTAATATTCAATTGTGTGTTAAAATATCAAAACAACTCAGCTTACTCTCGAAACACAAAGCTTGTGATCATAAAATGAACATGTCGCCATATTCAAGCCATCATCACCTTCGTCGAAATTCAAATCCCAATCGGCACCATAACAAATGCTTGTATGCTCACCAAATTCACCCGTCAATGTGGGTGCATTCAAATCGGCCAGATGAACTATGCTGAAGTTGTGATACATGCAGGCACACAACATTAAATTGTGTTCTCTCGGGTCGGACTTTATACGCCAGATTCCACCTTGCAAATTAATCTCACTCAATGGGGCCCTCATTGCTCTGGTATCGAATGTTCGCAAATGTTCATCATAACTACCGGTCAATAGCACATGTTCACGTACGGGATGGCTGAGTAAACAAGTGACCCCAGCTGCATGGGATTTATTGAGCAGAATACGTGACTCAGTACGTAAGTCGTAGACATTAAGGAAGGTATCATCGCCGCCCGTATACACACGATTCTGATCCCATCTATCGAATGCACATATCCAGGCTTCAAAGTTGTGCGCATGCCAAGTTTTTAATATTTCCATATTTCGTTCGTTGGTTCGATTCAACAATGATATATTTCCCTTGGAGTCTGAAACCAATATTTGGTTTTCATTATTTTCACCACTACCCTGTTTCCAATCGAGCGACAAAGCCAAAATATTATCGTCATCCGATTTGAGGTGTATTGAATCGATTAGTTTTAGTTCAGGATCCTCCAATTGGAACAATTCTACTTTACCCAGTGCGGTAGCGGTTGCTAATATGGGCAATTCATTGTCGTTGCAATTGATCCATTTCATATCTAAAATGGCAGCAGTTTCAATGCGTTGCAGTTCTTTAAGAGATTTTGTATGCTTTTCAAATTCATACAAATATATACGTCCCTTTCGCTGGCACGGTTTTTCTTCTTCACCCTCTTTGTTTTCTTCAAGCTGATATGTACCGCAGGCGAAAATGTCGCGAAAATTCTTGTGGGGGCACCATTCTACAGAGTCGGCAGAATATTCTGTATCAACATTGTGTATAAGTTCAATGTTCAACATTTTCTGAAATTAGACAAAAAAGAGAAACAATATTAGAGGTATGAACATATATGCAATATATACCATAAGATTATGAGTGAGAGGTGAAAAAACTCGGTAGATGCAATAATTTTTCATTCACAAAATTTCAATTCCAAAATTGGTTTGGCAGTTTCCTGTTTTCTTCTACCATGCGTAAAATGAATATCCGCTTTCATTTGACGTATAGCATAGTAGAAAAACGCAGGTAGATGCATCATTGATATGTCAACGTTGTTAAATTGTTTTTTTTTTTTTTCAAATATAAGAAGATATTTATAAGTTTTTCTATACGACGCTAAGTGGCTATGATAAGCATTTTTCAACAATTTTAACAAATTTGAATAATTTTTCATTCAAATTTTTCAATTTCAAAATTGATTTGACAGTTCATTGTCCCAGCAGCTGTATCGATACGACTACCTGTCTTCTTCTACCATGACGTATACGCAATGCAATTGACAATTTAAATCGCAATGCAATTGACAATTTAAATGTACTTTAAAACATGAAATCAGTGGTTTTGTCTG